GAGAGAGAGAGAGGGAGAGAGAGAGAGAGAGAGAGAGAGAGAGAGAGAGAGAGAGAGAGAGAGAGAGAGAGAGAGAGAGAGAGAGAGAGAGAGAGAGAGAGACGAAGAAAAAAAGATAGAGAAAGGAATTCGCTAGAATATGAACAAGACGCACAAGGAGAGAGGAAAAGCGCACACAAAAAATATAAACAGTAAAAGAAAAGAAAACATGTTAAGAAATTCCTCATCAGATGACAAAACCGAACGAAAAAGTAAATTTCCCGACGAGGAGAGAAATTTTATCTGAAACGTCATGATTTAGTGTGGTTTACTTCTTATTGATTCTATTAAAAGTACACACACATACACAGAAGATAATGATACATATAAACTATATAAAAACAATTACATAACTACAGTATGCAAACTATACCTACCAACTACATAAAGTATACAAATCATCCGTGTAACTTAATAAGCCATGCAAACTATACAACCCAACTATATACACAATATAAACTACACATAACTATGTAAACTCCACAAACTATACAAACCAGCTAATCACCCCCTCCCCCTCTTCTCTCCCTCCCCTCCCCCCTCCCCCCTACAGAGCTTCCCAGAGGTGTCCCACAGGTCACGGGTGGTCAGAGCGAATACCGTCTCGGGGACACGGTCAACCTCACCTGCACTGCCCCCCGATCCATCCCCCCCGCCTCCCTCACCTGGTATATCAACAACCAAGAGGTAAGATAACAGTTGTTGAATTTTCGTTGTTGTTATCATTTGCATTATTTGGATGTGATTGTCAACAGGCGAGAGGTAAGGTGGCAGGTGATGAGATTTCATTGTTGTTATTATTGTTTGCATTATTTTGATATGTGGTTAAATGGTAAGTGTTGTTGTTGTTGTTGTTTTTTTAATTAGCATTATTATTTGCGTTAATTATTTTAGTATGATTGTCAACATTGAAGATGCAAGATGGCAGATGTAGATTTTTTGTTATAGTTCTTATCATTTTAGTTATTTTCTATTTATATTAATTAATCGGGTATGATTATCAACATCCAGGAGATAATACGATAGATAGAGACTTTATCACCATCGGCATTATTTGCATTGATTGTTTTTGTATAATTAGCATGATAATATTCTAATGTATTAACAATGAAGACTTAAGAAGACAGATGTTGAAACCTTATCATCATTATCAGTATGTATATTATTATGATGGTTAATATCAGTTATATTCTTATTACTACTGTCAATTTATTACCATAATTCTTGATATTGATAAACATCCTATTGATGACTTTCATCATATCATATTTATCATAGTGATATAATTATAATCCCTAGTTGTTATCTCATGCTATTTCTGTCTGATTATTAATATCATCATTACGATTCTCATTATAAATTCGATATCAAAATCAGCCTCTCATTATCATGACAAGGGGATCCCCGTCCTCTTCTCCCTTCCCCATTAGTCAGATATTTTTAATATATCATCATCATTAACTTTATCACTATTCATTTTGATGATAGTAATTATAATGATACTTTTGTGTCTCCTCTCTCTACCCCCCCCCACCCCCTTTCCTTTAATCCGTTCCATCTTATTCTTTTCTTCTTCTCGTTTCCCTTTTCCTTTCCTTTATACTCTTCCCTTCTCCTCTTTCGCTCCTCTCTCTTACTCTTTCCTTCTAATACTTCTTTTCTTTACTGTCCCTTCCCCCTCACCCTTTCCTTTCTTCCTCCCTTCATCTTATCCCCTTGTCTCTCTAATTATTCTTATCTTCCTTCTTCCTCTATTTCCTCATCCCCCTTCTCACTCCCTCACACCCCCCCCACATTCTTCCTCTCCCCCTTTACTCCTCCGCTTTACTTCCCTTCCCATCTTCCTTCTCACTCCCTCACGCCTCCCTTTCCTTCTCCCCTCTTCCTCCTTCCCTCCCCCTCCCCTTCTTCCTTTCCTCTCCCTCCCTTCTCACTCCCTCAAACCTCCCTCCCTACCGCTCCCCCTCCCCCACCTCACTTCTCACTCCCTCACATCTCGCTCTTTCCCCCACCCGCACCCCCTCCCCTCCCCTCCCTCCCTCCCCCACCCCTTCCTCCTACCTCCCTCCCTCCCTCCTTCCCTCCCTTACCCACCTCCCTTCTCACTCCCTCACACCTCCCTTTTTCCCTCTCCCCCACCCCCTCCCCTCCCTCCGTCCCTCCCCCTCCCCCACCCCCTCCCCTCCCTCCCTCCCTCCCTCTCTCCCTCCCTCCCTCCCTCCCTCCCCTCCCTCTCTCCCTCTCTCTCTCCCTCCCTCCCTCCCTCCCTCCCTCCCTCCCTCCCTCCCTTACCCCCCTCCCACCAGGCCCCACAAGACTACCTGGTGTCCTACCCCTCCCACGTGGACCACGAAGGACGCGTCGAGGCCAAGCTGGGTCTCCTGTTCCGGGCCGAGCGCTGGCACTTCGTCGAGGACAACATGACCCTCAGATGCTCGGCCTCGATCCACAGCCTGTACGAGAAGGAAGTCCTCCACAGCGGCATTGTGGTGGAGCCGCTGGTGCCCGCGCTTCTCGAGGACCAGATTTCGGGTGAGTTTGGTTGGTTGTGTTGGGTGAGAGGGGGTGGGGGTCGGGGGTTGAAGAAGGGGTGAGGGTGGTTGAGAGGGGGTGGGAGGGAGGGAGGTTGAGAGGGGGGTTGGGTGAGAGGGGGTGGGGGTGGTTGAAGAGGGGGTGAGGGGAAGAGGGAGTGGGAGAAGAAGGGGTGGGAGTGGGAGGGGGTTAGGTTGGAAGGGGGGGGGGTTGGGTAAGAGGAGTAGGGGGTGATTCAGAGGGGGGGTGGAAGTAGTTGGTTGAGAGAGGGTTGGGTAAATGGTGGGGTTTGGGTTGGTGGGGAAGATAATAGAGAATAGGGGGAGGGGGGTGTAGTTAGGGATAGGGAAGGGAAAGATGAAAAGAACTCGAGGCCCAGATCTCGGATTTTTGTGTTTGGCCGAATAAATAAAAAAGGGGAAGGGGGGGAGGGGGATATTGGGGGGAGGGGAGAGAAAGGGGGAGTGGGGAAAATTGATTGGAAGGGAAGGGAAGGGGGAAGGGAACTCGAGGACCACCTATTGGTTGAAAGGGAGAGGGGTAAAGCAAAGGGGAATAGACGAGGCAAATTGAAAATTAGAAAATGACATGTTCATTTAATCTAAAAACATGTAAAAATAAACTTCACATAATTACAATGAATTGATCAGCTTCTTCGATGAAACTACTTTACCTCATATCAAATTAATACTTAGGTTAGCTGTTTAAAAATTGAGGATAAAAAAAAGGAGACAAAAGTTACAAATTAATTATACTCTCATAAAAAAGATTGTAAAAGAAATATAACAATCAGCTAAGACACGTATTTATTTATAAGAGTGTGTAAAAGAAATATGCTAATTAGCAAATATGAATTCATTTACAAGACAGTTTAAGAGAAACGTATTAATTAGCAAAGATATCCATTCATTTATAAGAAAGAGTAAAAAAATATATATATGAATTCACAAATAAGAGCGTTTAAACGAAAAATATTTATTAGCAAAGATATCAATTCAGAGTTTAAAATCAATTAATTAGCAAAGACACGACCTCCTTTATAAGAGAGTGTAAAAGAAGCATAATAATCAGAAAAAATAGAGAAAAATATTAATTAGCATAGAGGATGTAAGAGAGGAGAAGGTAGAGGATAGTAACGAAGGAGAGGATAGGGGACGATAGGGGATAGTAAGGAAGGAGGGGATAGGGAACGATAAGGGGATAGTAAGGAAATAGAGGATAGAGGACGATAGAGGATAGTAAGAAAGGAGAGGATAGGGGACGATAGGGGATAGTAAGGAAGGAGAGGATAGAGGACGATAGGGGATAGTAAAGAAGGAGAGAATAAGGGACGATAGGGGATAGTAGGGGAGGATAGGATAGAGGACGATAGGGGATAGTAAGGAAGGAGGGGATAGGGGACGGTAGAGGATAGTAGGGGACGATAGGATAGGGGACGATAGGGGATAGTAAGGAAGGAGAGAATAAGGGACGATAGGGGATAGTAAGGAAGGAGGGGATAGAGGACGATAAGGGGATAGTAGGGGACGATAGGATAGGGGACGATAGGGGATAGTAACGAAGGAGAGGATAGGGGACGATAGGGGATAGTAGGGAAGGAGGGGATAGGGGACGATAGGGGATAGTAAGGAAGGAGGGGATAGGGGACGATAAGGGGATAGTAGGGGAGGAGAGGACAGGGGACGATAGGGGATAGTAAGGAAGGAGAGAATAGAGGACGATAAGGGGATAGTAGGGGAGGAGAGGATAGGGGACGATAGGGGATAGTAAGGAAGGAGGGGATAGGGGACGATAAGGGGATAGTAGGGGAGGAGAGGACAGGGGACGATAGGGGATAGTAAGGAAGGAGAGAATAGAGGACGATAAGGGGATAGTAGGGGAGGAGAGGATAGGGGACGATAAGGGGATAGTAAGGAAGGAGAGAATAGAGGACGATAGGGGATAGTAGGGGAGGAGAGGATAGGGGACGATAGGGGATAGTAAGGAAGGAGAGAATAGGGGACGATAGGGGATAGTAGGGGACGATAGGATAGGGGACGATAGGGGATAGGGAAGGAGAGAATAGGGGACGATAGGGGATAGTAGGGGAGGAGAGGATAGGGGACGATAGGGGATAGTAAGGAAGGAGAGAATAGGGGACGATAGGGGATAGTAAGGAAGGAGGGATAGAGGACGATAGGGGATAGTAAGGAAGGAGGGATAGAGGACGATAGGGGATAGTAAGGAAGGAGGGATAGAGGACGATAGGGGATAGTAAGGAAGGAGGGATAGAGGACGATAGGGGATAGTAAGGAAGGAGGGATAGAGGACGATAGGGGATAGTAGGGGAGGAGAGGATAGGGGACGATAGGGGATAGTAGGGGAGGAGAGGATAGGGGACGATAGGGGATAGTAGGGAGGAGAGGATAGGGGACGATAGGGGATAGTAG